GCCATTGAATCCAAAATTCGGAGTTGATTTGAAATCACTATTTATTCGAGACTGAAAATGAAAAAAATGAAGCCAATCCCGTTAATTCGGAATAAGGTGAATTTTTGCATATGAAGGTTCGAAAGCATGAGAAACAATAATATGAGGTTAAATTTCCTGTAAAAAAATGCCTAATATGATTTTATGAAGAATCGACCCCTTTTTAGTTCAATAAAAACGCACGGCACTGTCCAAAATAATGTGCATCTCTGTAAAACTGATCATATTGATGGTTATTCATACCACACCAAATTTGGTTGGAATCGCATGACTAATAACTGAGATATAGAGGGGGGGGGTCGTTTAAAGTGAGACACGCTGTATATTCGCATATTTATTTATTTAATTCATGTTTTTGTGTCAAACTGGAAATAACCCTTGAACTATTGGATCAAAAGTTTCAGAAATGTGTCGAAAATATTCAGATTATCACAGATGCTTAAATGATTCACAAACAAAAATCATATTTTCCTCATAACTCCTTCAGAAAATTTTCGAATACAGATTCACAACCTTGGAAATGTCAACTGTCTTGTAAGAGACTCGAGAATGTTGAAACACCAGTTGAAAATATAATTTTTTCCATTTCTTTGAACCGTCTTCTCATATATACAGGGCGAGTCAGTGTTTTGTAGCAGGACTTCGGCATCTTGAAGAAGATAATATTTTGAGTTGAAAATTTCATATAAATAACATATATGCGTAGGAGCCTCTTTTTCTTGCTCTTTTCCGATATACAGGTGGTGTGATATTTTTTTGTGTTTTTCAAGTTTTGCCACTTTTCATAAACACATCTAATGAAAGCTTTCGCTCATTCCAAGTCTGCTTGTCAATTATCAAGACATACCAATTAGAGTGTCTTTGAAAAACCAAGTTTTATCACATATAAATAATTTTTTGGCATTTTTATATATCTCGAAATTCATACAGTTTTCGAAAAACATATGGGAGAGCAATAAAGTTCCAAATAAAACCGAGAATCTGAATAAATGTGTCATTGAAAGCAGAGGCAGCACGCAGAAAAGTTCAAGAGGGTTAAATTGGACAGTGTATTATCCTGTAGGTAATCGAAATCGCCTAATTGCTCTGAATATTCAGTTTTTTAAGTGTAGTAGTAGGTATAGCAAATTTCAATTCATTATTTTGAAAGTTGTAGGAGAAAACTAGAAAAACATGGGAAAATTCTCAAACTCAAGACTTCCTGTATATCGGAAACGAAGCTCCCACGCATGTATATTGAAATGAACTTTTCTCCTTGAAAATATGTGTTCTTCAAACTGTGATGTCCTGCTACAAAACATTGACTCACCCTGTATATATTTTTTTATCGTGAGGATTTACGAAATGTTCGACATGCAGACAACGCTGCACCGTTCTCCGGTTCAAGAGGAGTGGTTTGAGTACCCCTCTGCCAATGGTTAGCTGAGAATAAAGCGCCAAACTTTTTGAACTCCTACCAAACCACACCAAACCTAAACCACCTATCCTCCCATTGATGATTTTCTCACATTTCAACCTGCCAAGGCCGAAAACTATTCACCTGCTAAGAGCGCACACATACTTCACCATACAGGGGGTTTAGTTGGGAGAGGAACATGAACTTGATGGGTTTTCCGCCGTTTGTTATTTCTTTCATACGAAGCCCTGGAAGGGACACATAAAATAAAAAAAATAAAACTCTTCTAAATTCTGAGTTATTACTCGGAATTTTGAAATTCCGACTTATATCTCGGAATTTTACATTCAAAATTCCAAATTATAACTCAGAATTTCACGTCCAATATTCCGAGTTATAACTCAGAATTTTAAAATTCCGAGATATAAGACAGAATTTTGATGTAAAATTCCGAGTTATAAGTCGGAATTTTACATCCAAAGTTCCGAGTTATAACTCGGAATTTTGAAATTCCGAGCAATAAGTCGGAACTTTGATGTAAAATTCCGAGATATAAGTCGGAATTTTAAAATTTTGAAGAGTTAATCTTTTTTTATTTTACGTGTCCCTTCCAGGCCTTCGTATGAAAGAAATAACAAACGGCGGAAAACCCATCAAGTTCATGTTCCTCAAAATCCTAGCTCATTAAATTTTACGATTCACGTTAGATTAGATAGGTTTTTATGAAAAAAATGAGCACAATTTCACAAATATACAAGGTAACGGCAATTGGCCGACGGTAGATAGAGGTTACCGAGGTGATTCTGACTTATTTTTCATCTCTTGGAGCGCACGAAAGGAAATTCCTACAATGCTCGAAGAACATCGTGCGTGTAGTCGATCCAGTCAGTTGGAGCCCATCGTTAAAAAACATATATATAGGTACCCAGAGCAGGTGGATATTCGAAATATATTCCTCCTTTTAAGCATATTTAGAGAATATTCTAGGAATATCCAGTGCTGTCTGGGATGATTTGAAATTTTTTTTATAAAGGAAACTTCAACCTTTACGCCACGTCGTATGTCATAATATGGTAATAATTGTCTTCAATATTGACCAATCAACGCTTCCCTATGATTTCCAATGCTGTATTCTTAGTTGGAATGGACTATGGACTATATAAGAGTGGGCGATATTGATATTATCGGCAGTATTGATATTATCGATTATTATCGATATTATTTGATAAACAAAACAAAAATATTCAAACACTGATCTTATTCTAATTTTTCCATGCATACAACAATAATTCAACTAGGTACCAATATTGAGAACTAACATGAGTTTTTTTATGCGTATTTTGGAATTGGAATTATGTGGGAAGAAAGTTAATAACAATGTATTTTGAAGTTTACATTTTGAAAAAGTTTTGCTTAATAAAATATGGAAATTAGACTACATGGCCGAAGTCACGTGACCTCCGCTACACTTCAAAAGTTTTTTTTTTTAAATAAATCGTTAAAAGTAGGCTTGTTTGTTAGAATTTCAAGAACGTTTACTGAGAAAAGTTATTTCTATTTCAATTTTACATACAGTGTGACCCACTTCTATTGGAAACACCCCTGTATCTTACGTAATCGTTGGGTGAGGATCCTGAAATTGGCTGGAGCGAGAGACATACCAAGTGGGATCATCTTCAGTGATATACACTGCTCGCCAACAGCCATGGAACCACCCCAATTTCCGTAAAATTCACTAACTATTCATATTTTTTCTGAAAAATTAAATTTTGTCGCACTTTTTACGGAAGCATCCGCCCCGTATCTTACATAATTGACTTTATCTTTGGACTTTCCCTTCCTCCTGTAAATTTCAGAACACTACCTCAATAATAACGTAAGATACGATGGTGCTTCCATGAGAAGTGGGACAAAATTTGATTTTTCTGAACTGAAAATTTTCTAGGAAAACTATGAATAGCTAGTGGATTGGGCCTCTTGATTCCGAATCCGAAGTGATTTTCAACCTATTTTAACTTCTAATATCATTTTCCGGAAATTGGGGTGGTTCCATGGCGGTTGACGAGCAGTGAATATCACTGAAGATGACCCCACTTGGTCATAGAGTAGTGCATTTTTGGTATATCTCTCGCTCCAGCAAATTTCAGGATCCTTACCCAACGATTACGTAAGATATACAGGGGTGTGCCATTAGAAGTGGGTCACACTGTATGTGTCTCGGAGTCGAACGTTCTATAACAACTTTTAGTTCTTGTTACCTAGGTATTCTTTTAATTTCTAGGAATTCTCTGTAATAAAAAAAATTAACACCGACAAAACGATTTCATTTTAGTAGCTTTATCATGCTAATACAACTTTCCATCACTAATTGTCGAGAAAAATATGATTCTCTTCAGAAAATAATAATTCCTGCTTCAAATTTCGGTTAAGTTTGATGCAAAGTTGATGTATCACGATTCATTCAAATTGATTTTTTCAGTATCAAAAGGATGCCATAGTCATCCATCAGAATATCATCAGACTAGAATTTTCGTATCTGATGTAGCCAAAGTTTAGGACAGTTTTGTCAAAGTTACAATGATTAGAAAAAATCAAAAAAAATATCAGGAACCAAAAGTTGCAATAGCATGTTCAAATTCGAAACACATGTTTAAAATTGGAAGATAAACAACTTTTCTCACACAACTTTTTCGAAAGTCTAACAAATAAACGATTAATTTGAAAAAATGTGATTTTTGACATTCAGCGAGTCATTAAAAGTTTTTTCCATATCATAATAATATGATGCCAACTTCATGAAAGATGTATGTGTAGTATGTACAGGGTGGGGCCAAATTGGACACTTTTAAAGGGAAATAAGCCCTATTCTCGAACCAGATGGAAGAAAACTGATGTCGGTGCCTGAGGGTCCATTCTCATGAAAAACTCAATGGTGAAATCCGAATCTAAAATGGGCATTTTTGAAAAGTGGCTACAGCTATTTTTTTGCAGAAAGTGTCTGTTCTTATGAAAAAAAAAACACAAAGCATTGAGTTTGTGATGAAAATTGTTCTCGAAGCACTGAAATCGGCCTTCCTATATCTAGTTCAAGAATATAACTTGTTCTTCTTGAAAGAAAAGCTCTATTTTGCAACTATAGGTATACGGTGACTGATTTCAGCGCCTGAGGATCAATTTTCATGACAAACACAATGCTTCGAAAATGTTTTCATGAAAACGAAGAACATATTTGACTAAAAAAAAAAATGTTAGCCACTTTTCAAAAATTCACATTTTTGAAGAACACCTTGTAACTTTGAAATAAATATAGATATCGATATTCGGTTTTCACCTTCGAGTTTGTCAAGTGAGTAGATCAAAAGGCACCGACATCAGTTTTTCTCTATCTTATACGGGAACAAGTCTTTTTTGCCCACCCTGTACATACCTATTCGATTTTTTTCTGATACCTATTGATTTCTTCGAAGAAAGAACTATAACGCATTTTACGGTATTCCAATTATGAAAAGATTGTGTTACAAATTCCCTATGAAAAAAAAAAAACGAACGTTTGAAAATTCACAGCTCAGACTCTATTCGTCTCATAAAACTTGTACTTCAACGGATCATCCAGATTCTCGAAATAGAACTTGTTCAGCCACTTGTGGATCCGCTTCACGTGGAACCTCCTGGCTTCCCTCACCGACCCCGGATCATTGGCGTTCGCTCCGCGCAGATCGAAATGGTGCGCCGCGTCGGGTATGATGACGGCCGAGATGCGGTCCGAAACGTTGCTCAGCACGCCTCCGGAGGACCACGGGTCCATCAGGCCGTTGCTGAAGACGATGTCCGACGCGGATTTGATGTCCTTGCCGCCGTACTCCAGGAGCGGGACTTGCTCGTTGCGCGGACGCACGGAGAACTTCTTGTAGCAGTCGTCGGAGTACTTTTCGAAGTCCCACGGCGCGTCCTCGAACATGTCGAAGCTGGTGGAGCACATCGGCATTATCATGTCGGTGCAGGACTGAAACAGAAATACTAGAAATACAGTAGTAGTATAGTAGTAGTATAGTATAGTAGTAGTATAGTAGTAGTAGTATAGTAGTAGTTTTATTGATCCATTGAAACGAGATTACAAAAACCATTGGACAGAGGTCAAAATACACGAAAAATACGGCAAATAACTAACAATAAGGTAAAATGACTAGAATAGATTGAAAACAATACATACAAGGATCATGAGTTCTGTGAAAATGTGGTATTTTAAATGATATTGTCCCAATGTATGTGTTTTTTTATGTTCTGGTTCCCACGGAAAGGAATATCCTGTAATGTTCAAAGAACAAAGGGAAATAACGTAGGAATTAGTGTTCTTCTTGAATTTTTGGAGGTTATATGCCTCGGGGAACACCTACCCCTGGCAATATGTTCCAGAGCCTCGTTGTTCGTTGGATGAACGAGTCTCTGGAAAGAGATGTTCTGCAGGTCTCCAAAGTGATCACGAAGGGGTGCGAAGCCTCAACTCGACGGGTTAATCTCGCGGGGACTGCCAAGGGAGGAAGAATTGTTATTTCAGAAGAGCATCGTCCATGAAAATATCTATAAAATAGAGCCAGATCGCCAACTTTTCTACGGTGTTCCAGAGAAGTGAGTGAGTTTGTGAGCGAGACATCAACCACGAGACGAACTGCTCTTTTCTGGACAGAATCCAACAGTTTCAGGGTATTTTTGGGTGCTGCACTCCAAATATGGGAAAAGTATTCCAGAACAGGTCGGATCTGTGCCTTATAGATCATAAGCAGCTGACTGGAAGTGAAATAGCTCGAAACAGAAAACCAAGTTTTTGCGATGCACTTTCATCAATTGATCTCACGTGATTTTCTCAAGAACGGTTATTATTGCTGATAGTAATACCAAGCATCGAAATGGATGTCTTCAAGGGTATGGTTACCCCTGACAAGCTTATGTTGGGCACCGTGAGATCGGCTCTTCGAGGGAAAAGGCATGCTTGTGTTTTGTTTGCATTGAAATCTACCAGGTTATTGGATCCCTATTCGAGAATAATTGCCAAGTCTATATTTATGTTGTCAACATTTCTCCCTCGTTCGTTTCTGATTTGCCTGGCTGGTATTGGAGTCCTGGAAGAGAAGGCGGTATGGAGGGTACTATCATCCGCGAAGCTGTGTACTGGACATGAAGTTGCTTCCAACAAATCGTTGATATGGAGTGGAAATAGTGTTGGTGCTAGAATTGATCCTTGCGGAACACCATCATTTATGATAAGAGAGTCAGATGAAACTCCGGCGACCACTACATGGAGAGACCTGTTTGAGAGAAAACTAGCTAGAAGAGAACATAACTGGGGAGGCAAGCCATAAGATGGAAGCTTGACGAGGAGTCCGTGGTGCCAGACTGGATCGAATGCCTTGGAGATATCGAGTGCCACGGCTAAGGTTTCACCATATTTTTCAATAGATTGCTGCCATATATGTGAGACGTAAGCGAGCAGGTCACCAGTTGATCTTTGATGACGGAAGCCATATATTGCGTAAAAAATAAAGTTGTGGAAAAATGCTTCTAGCCCCGACTATTTCTCACGCCACTGAACAAGATATCAAAATATTTTTCTTATTCTCAAATCGGGCACAAAATAAGCATGTACAAAATTTGGTTATTTTTTCAGGAAGAGTTTCGAGAATATTTTCGAAAAAACTACATCTCTTGATCGCCTTTAAGTGGATGATATCGATGATACTTCAGTTTCTCCTCTATTAAGGGGTAGAAGACGAGGTAAATATTTGAAATTCCAGAACGGACTCCGTCTTTCTCACTAAATATCTCCGCCTCGCTCGTTCGATAGGCGCATCTTATAACCGCGAAGAAGACATACGAGGGGATGTCCAAGATTATTCGAGAGCGAAATATAGAAAAGTGAAGGGTGAATTTTCAAAGCTGCTCCTCTGTATGATAGTTAGAAGGGTCATTTTATAGCATGAATGCGAAACTGCTGTTCTTCTTCTCACGATGATTTCATCAAAATTCTCTTGATCAATTCACCATATTTCTCGACTTTTGAGTGGAATAGGAATTTCCACAAGGATACAAGTATTATATTGTTATTGAATATATTCATCAGTTTGCTGTATATTGACCGATATGGGGAAGATGCTATTAGAAACTATATGACAAATTTGATATACAGGGCAATTCATGAAGAGACTCACATGGTGAGTAGGGGAAAACAAAACAAGTTGAGATTCCATGTATGAAAGATTCTGTTGGCCTTCAATAACGAAGATATTATGTGACATTGCCATATTATGATTTCAATGGCCGACATTTCAGATATGATTCATCCCAATTAGGCAGTGACGTTTCTTTATTCAAGATGGCATATTATAAAAAAATCAGATCCGAAAAATTTCATGTTCTCTTGTTATAAAGAAAAAGCTCATTTTGTGATCAGTTTCCTAGAAAAATTTCATCAGATTCAGGAAGATCAGACATAATGCCATAAGAACTGCTCTTCAATTTGCACGACACACGTTTCGGTTCATTAAACAATATGAAACAAGAACGTTCGAATGAATTTTCAATTTGAACCTAGCTGAAGATAACTCTCTCATTTCAACTGGATTGATGTGAATTTATGATAGGAATCGACAGATATAAGTAGTTGATAAAAAACCACAGAACTGCTTTTTTGGTGATTTGAAATGTTCGTTCTTGATCGACATCGTGACTTGTTTCTGTTTACAAATATTGCAAATATCAATGAAGTAATAATGAAATAGTATAGGCGGTGTTTTTCATCATTTGACGTGACGTGACATCTGTTGATATTCCGAAAAGATGGGTAGGAACTGGTGAAATTATGGCATGAAGATTTATTAGGATGTTCTGAATATTCGAGATAATTCTGTCGCTTCCTTGTTCACGAAAGTGTGCTGCTGGGCAACACCACGACGAGTGGTATTTCAACAATGAAAGACAGAATCATGAGAACATATTCAGAACGGAGTTGTAATTTGCTAGAGAGAGAGAGAATTTCTTATAAATGAGCGATTCATATTCTGACGACAGATATAATTATTTAATGCCAAACTGACAGTCTTTGCTCCGCTATCCATGGTTACATCTTTGAAAACACCAACACTGATAGACCAATCAGAATTGAAAGACCGCTTGTGTTTTCGCGATTACACACGTTGTGATGTGATTGATCAGATTATGTAATAAATGAAATTATAGTATATTGTTTAACGAGCACGGAATGATAGTGATTTCCTACGAGAATGAAGTTTGCAGCATCGGCGAATGCTGCCATAATTTTTCTACGGCTATATATAGATAACAGCGACATTTTCGATTTCGTCGTCCTGTAGCCATTTGATTTCCTGTCAAGTAATGCTCATCTATTAGACGGCGGTGTCATTGCTCACATTTGACATTCCATGAGCGATGAGATTTTTTGAAATAATAACACAATGGAGTCATTGTGATATCAGATACGAAAATAATATTGATGATATACAAAGTGCCTCATTGACGTATCGAGCACAGTAAAACGAGAGCAATTGTGTGTTATAGCCGTAGTAAGGTTTTACTCCTATACATATTCTTGGGTCTGTAAATCTTCTATGGTATTGAACTTTGCAAACATTTGAACTTTTTCCATGTTCAGCATTTGAAAAATAAAGTGACATCTTGAGTGCAAGAATCACACGTCACATCAAGAAATGAAGAATAGGGCACGACTACTAATATCTAGAGTCCCTGTATATACCTTAGACAAGAGTCCGGACACAAAACTGACTGCTGTTGGGGTTTTCAATATTTTGTTTTATTTGGTTTGTCCACCTGACAATGTGACGAAACACCATAGTCGTCCCGCCCGCTTTTTTTTAATTATTTCGAATTTCTGTCACTGTCACTATGACCGCCAAAATTAAGCATTTTAAATTATTTCAATTTCCTGCTGCATACATTATTGCGACAATTCATTAGAAAAGGGATTCAAGTTATTATCATTATTTAATAGTTATTATAGTTAAAATAGCCCTATTTCCCACTTCTACCTACGGCTATGAACGGTTTGACAAATAATCTAACCCTCAAAATTGTTTCTGACAATCATTGATACTAGGGGAATGGAAAAGACAGAGCTCGATATATTTGTCTTATTCCTTTATTCAATCATCAATGCATTTTTTGAAAACAAACAGGGACTCTACTAATATCTCTCTAGAATTTCGATCAAGAACTATAACATTGCAAATCATCAAAAAAATCAGTGTTAGTGGTACTGTGGTTTTTCTCGTTCGCTCTCTTCTGTCAATTTTTACCCAACAAAAATGTACAAAAAATCTATTTACATGAATCCAGTTAAAAGTACTGTTTACTTCATTAGTCAGGTCGAAATTGAAAATTCATTCAAACTTTTTTGTTTCATATTCCTTCATTGAACCGGTCAAAGCGTCGTGCCCTGAAAATGAAGAGCAGTCCTTATGGCATTTCGTCAGATCTTTCGGATTCTGATAAGAATTCTCGCGAAAAGTGATCACAAAGTTAACTCTTTAGAAATCAGTAAAACATGAATTTTTCCCATGTCCGGATCTGGATTTTTTCCATAAGGTGTCATATGGAATAGTTCCGATAGAGAAACGTAGCTGCAAAATTTCAGCAAATTACGATGAGTCATATTTTCTGAAATGGCAATTTCACATCGTAGTAGATGGAATTTTTTTTTTCATATACAGCGTCCCTCACTTGAGAAAACGCTTTTCTCTTTCTATATCTTAGGTATTAGTCGTGCGATTTTCATCAAATTTGGACTGGTATTCTGTATCTGGGGTTCTATTGAAATAAAACGGGGTCGATTTTTCATGAAAAGGCATCTTTCAACAGGAAAACGAACCTCATAATATTGTTCTTCATCGTTATAAGAATTTTCACATGAATCCTGTGGAGGGTATCAGCATCAGCATTTTTGCGAACGTAAATTAGTATTCTATGCATCGATCACGAGGAAACCATGCATGTATATAGGAGTGTATTGATAGTTCAATATCATGATAGTTTCATACACTATTTTTTCTAGGACCACAAGTAGGAAGTGACAACTTCGATGGCCGGTATAGTATTTCCAATATTTTTTAGACAATACGGGGAAATCTGAATGAAGTTATATCAGTTTCATGAAATATTTACACGTATACACGAAAAGGATGAACTAAATAAATTTGAAAGTATTGATAGAGAAATTTGACATTTGCGACTAAGAACTTCCGAATTGCATCTCATCAGAAGTATTCATTACTCACCCTGTGTATTATAAATGATGTAAATGATTTTCGTAATACCAGCGAGAACACAATATGATCAGATCGACTATCGGTGATTTCGACGCATGTATTACGCTATTCAAGACTCGATAACATATATAACCGCCATCGCATATCAACATAAATAGATATTTTGAATTGACTCGGCCGTACCAGTATTTCACCTGACGAAGCTACTGTATTAGCGAAACATGTCATGTGTTTGAGAATTTTGTGGAAATCTTATCGTTTCTGGAGTTTTCACATGAATAGATACCTACACTGGTACGCGTGCTTCCATGACGCGAGTCTGCCGGTTTACTCTTATCCCAGAAAGTGCCTAACTGGCCTATAGAAATTATCGCTCCAAAAATCAAATAATTTCTCATTATTTATATTTCAGCATTCTCCACCATCATAAGTACATGAATTGCATGAACTTTTGACGCATTCGCGTTGTCATTATGATTGTCATTTGGAATTAAATGTCAAACAACTCAAGCAAGTGAGATATAAACATAGACCCACTTGATTATACCCAAGCACTACGTGTTTTTATGGGCCAAAAATCATGATAAAAAGAACGTGTCTTCATTGGTTGAGATCTGTATCATGATAGAAATCCGACATAATTAATTCGCTTCTTATAAAATGGGAGTAGGAAAAATTATTCATTCGGAAAAGATGAGTTCAACAGAAAAACTATGCCTTGTTCTTTTAATGTAAACCATAATTTTCTACTTACTGGAGCTATTGAACGTTCCAGAATTTGCGGTTAATTAGAAGTCATTATTCATTCGGTGCTGATAATGAAGAGAAAAATTTGACCCATTCTATAGTATTTTAAAATTATTGAATTTTTGCACATGGAGATTCGAAAACATGAGTAACAATACTGTAAAGTTAGTTTTCCTACAAAAAATCCTGATTCATGAAACCCATTTCAATTTCGATAAAAACGCACGGCACTGTCCATAATGATGTTTCATTTCCTAAAAACTGATCATATCAATGGTAATTCATACTAGTCCAAATTTGGTAAGAATCGCAAGATTGATAGCTATTATAGCTGAGATATAGAGGAAGGGGGCATTTGAAGTGAGACATGCTCACTTCAAATGCCCCCTTCCTCTATATCCAATTCGTCTTTACCCTGAGTCTCCCCCTCGGTCTCCCCATGAATCACAAAAACCTGAACTTCGAAGTAAACACTCGAAACACTCGCGAAGTCTACCGCTACCGCAATTGGTTAAAATGTTCATTTCACGAATCCCATTATAGGCGAAATTTTCTACTGTGATATAATACAAAATATCTTCTCTACCCTTGAAAGTCTATACTTATGTGGAATACCCCGCTTCAAAAAAAAATTTTATATCGTCGACCGAAATGCGGCTTTTCGCCGGTTCCCCTTTTGCCGACAAACGTTTCACTTCACACCGCACCTATGACATCATCTGATGTTTTTATTTATCATTTCGGAGAGGAGGATTCACGGTCATCGTGCTATACTTCCTTACTGGAATGCTAAAATTATCTTATAATTCCCACTCGATAATATAAAATAATGTATGGATATTGTGGACAGTATAAAAGTTCCCAAGGAATAGGATGAAGAAACAGAAATGACGAAAAATGATATAGATAGCTGAAGTACAAATAGTACAAACGTAAATGTGTCCTACTTTTTGAATCCCTCTGGTAAAATCTCAAAAACGCAAAATAAGCCTGTATTCCAATATTGAAACACAGTTTTCAGCATTCTCCGGTGAGGCCGCTAGGAATCGGTGTCGAAATGTTGGAAAACATGGGATCGCGCGCCCCCACTTTTCCCCCTCTAAAAATCTTTTTTTCCAAAAACAAAAAATACTGGGCTCTTCACAAAGGATGAACGGATGTTTCTCTGGAAGCGGATTTTGAGTTTTTGTCTTAGTTTTTTCAAAAAAAAATTCTGAATATACTCGAAAAATGCAATGTTCATGATTTTTTTGCAGAATATCGGTGAATTTTTTCAAAATTCTGCTTCCAGAGAAACCTAGATATTTCAATTCTTCATCTCACCATATTTTTTGTTTTCCAAAAAAATCAATATTGAACAATGAAAAGTGGGGGCGGAGAAATCATGTTTTCATTGCACTGATGCACGGTGTATCCTCCTCTTAAATGGCTATATATATAACACCTAGAATCCGCAGATGAAATCTTTTTATATAAGTACAGTGTGACCGACTTCTAATGGAATCACCCCTGTATCTTACGTAATCGTTGGGTAAGGATCCTGAAATTTGCTGGAGCGAGAGATATACCAAAAATGCACTCTATGACCAAGTCGGGCCATCTTCAGTGATATACACTGCTCGCTAACAGCCATGGAACCACCCCAATTTCCGAGAAATGATATTAGGAGTCAAAATAGGTTGAATATCACTTCGGATTCGGAATCAGGACGCCCAATTCTCTAACTATTCATAGTTTTCCTAGAAAATTTTCAGTTCAGAAAAATTAAATTTTAGTCTCACTTCTCACGTAATTATTGAGGTAGGGTTCTGAAATTTGCAGGAGGAAGGGAAAGTCCAAAGATAAAGTCAATTATGTAAGATACAAGCATGCTTCGCTTCCGTAAAAAGTGCGACAAAATTTAATTTTTCAGAACTGAAAATTTTCCAGGAAAAATATGAATGGTTAGTGAATTGGGCGTCCTGATTCCAAATCCGGAGTGATTTTCAACCTATTCTGACTCCTAATATCATTTTCCGGAGATTGGGGTGATTCCACGGCTGTTGGCGAGCTGTGTATATGACTGAAGATGACCCCACTGGGTCATTTTTGGTATATCTTCCGCTCCAGCGAATTTCAGGATCCTTGCACAACGATTACGTAAGATACAGGGGTGTTTCCATTAGAAATGGGTCACACTGTATATATATAATTTCGGGACACCCTATATATTAAAATTGATTATTTTGATCACCTGGAAACCCCATCCTTTTTCTCCAATGTTCGCAGCTACTTTGATATCATTACAGGTGGTACGTCCCGTGTAGTTCGTATAAACACTAAGGGCTTCTCCTAGAGCCTGAAGTAAGCCGAAGTCATTTTTGTAATCGAAATTGTTGATTTTGCTACAAACAGCTCGGACTGGATACGCTGGCAGATCTGCCAAAAAACTTGTGGGGTAGGGGTAGTTCACCATTGCCACATTCACGTAGATGTTGGTCAGCCAATCGACCAGAGTATCGATGTCGTCTGACGTTTTCAAAGGCGTGCAAAAGTTCCAAAGTTTCGTCAAATTTGATTTTCCCTCATCAGTTTCAGTCAGAGATCTGAAAATGAGATAAGATCGAGTTTGTGTCACCCCAGTAAACAATCATATCGACATGATATTGTCATTTTACAATGCTGATTCACAAAAATGACCCGTTCGCCTACTTAACGCCGATATTGGCGAAGCACTCTCTATTATACCATTTATTGCTTATTCATTGTTGACGCAGTGATGACTGACATATGTATTTTCAGTGCATTCCTATTGAAGATTAAGTCGTTTATTTTCATACAAATACTTTAACTACATTGAAAAAACAATCACTTTTCATGATTTGGTGAATCTGTCGAAAGTTCGTGAATTCGGTTTCTGTTTGATATTGAAATTTCTGGGATCTGTGGAGAATGGAGAAAACTCGAAAACTTTTTTATGTGTATCTGAAAACTAACATCAAATTTGATTTTGTCATTGAAAAATACCCATAAATATCAAATTTTACACAAAAATTACGATTATCCTGGAATTTATTCACAATAAACAAACTTTGACACTGTATATCTCAGAAACGAATAGCTTGCGAACATATTAGACACCATGATTGTGAAGGAACTTTTTTTGTCGTTCAAAAAGACATCGCTTTTCCATCACAAATAACAAATCGCAATAACATGCCATAAAATATATCGTTGTTATATCGTAGACGTAGCATAGATGAAACTTGACTGGAACAAAATAACATCCCTCTGACATCGCAGCGACGTCTATGCAACATAGAATGCGATATCACAAGTCACAATTGTTACATTGCTGCGATATATCCCAGTTATTAACACAGAGATATAAGAGGGCATCACAATATTGTGAATATTTTGTGAAATAAAGAGTCCCCTTGCAATACCAATGATGTTTTGTTTTAATTCGCATTGTTACCTATCGATAGATGAATGTGACATCCCAGGGATGTTTGTGTTTACTGGGATCTGTGATGTAACTGTGTTTGCTCACCTGATTATTTTCCAAGACTTCGCGATGGTGTCCTTGCACTTCACTCCTCCCAGAGCCTCGTACACGTTCGTCACAATCCTGTTGAAGTTCTCGCACGGGGTCAGCCCCCGGAACTGCCAGATCGGAGCCGAGCTGGCAACGGCGCCCGCGACGGCGTACGGGTACTTCATTCTGAGGTACGCGGCCAGCATACCTCCGTACGAGCCGCCGAACGCGATCACCGGCACCTTTTTGAGGTCGCTAGTGGCGGCGTAGGTGCTCTGCAGGTCGTCGATGAGGTAGGCGAAGTCCGCGAGGGCTTGGGCGGAGGAGAGGTAGCCGAGGTACTCGGGGGTGGTGTAGGACAGGTTGCCGAATGGTAAGGAAGTTCCGTAGTACCTGGAAATCACCCTATTATTTACTCTTTTCCTTATACAGTGTGACCCACTTCTAATGGAAACACCCCTGTATCTTACTCAATCGTTGGGTGAGGATCCTGAAATTTGCTGAAGCGAGAGATATACCAAAAATGCACTCTATGACCAAGTGGGGTCATCTTCAGTGATATACACTGCTCGCCAACATCCATGGAACCACCCCAATTTCCGGAAAATGATATTAGGAGTCAAAATAGGTTAAAAATCACTTCGGATTATGAATCAGGACGCCCAATTCACTAACTATTTATAGCTTTCCTAGAAAATTTTCAGTTAAGGAAAATTAAGTTTTGTTTCACTTCTCATGGAAGCACCCACGTATCTCACGTAATGATTGAGGTAGGGTTCTGAAATTTGCAGGAGGAAGGGAAAGTCCTAAGATTAACTCAATTACGTAAGATACAAGGGTGCTTCCGTAAAACGTGCGACAAAATTGAATTTTTCAGAACTGAAAATTTTACAGAAAAAATATGAAAATTTAGTGAGTTGGGAGTTCTGATTCCGAATCTGAAGATATTTTCGACCTCGTTTGACTCCTAATATCATTTTCCGGAAATTGGGGTGGGTCCATGGCTGTTGGCGAGCAGTGTATATCACTGAAGATGACCCCACTTGGTCATAGAGTGCATTTTTGGTATATCTCACGCTCCAGCAAATTTCAGGATCCTTACCCAACGATTACGTAAGATACAGGGGTGTTTCCATTAGAAGTGGGCCACACTGTAGATGAGTATCGAATACGACCCTGTGAATCAATAAAATTCGTCCAAAATAACCGATATTTTCCCGACCCGACCCGATTTCAGTATGTATTTTTGCAGAAAAAATGTTAAAATTTATTTAAAATTAACTTATTTGAGAAAACGCTCGGGCCCGTCGATTTTAATTTTTTGGTGGCGTATATCCAAAAGTGAACCGTTTTTAACACATTTAGATTTATGATTATTGGTAACTACAATAATTTTGAGCATTACAGAATAAAACCTTGGCGCCTTGGCTCTTGATTTTCAAATATTTATTCAAATATGTTCGTGTCACATTTTGATTTCGGCTTGAGTTAAGGATTTTAGAAATATCAAGTAGGAATATCAGAAGACAGAAGATATACAGAGTGTCCCAAAATTGCTAGGAAATATATAAATCTAGGAGCATTATTTAAGAGAAACTGTTTTTTTCTTCATAGCTATGCTGAATACGAAATTTTTTACATGAGCTACAAAATTAAAATAATTGAGAGTCATATTTTACCACCCCTAAGGATGTTCTGAAAAAAATGCCAGTGGGTGAGGTTTTTGAACCTTCTATAATTTCTTTTGGGCTTCTTTTAGTAAGGAGAGCAATCCTCTCAAATGCACTTTTGTCAAATGTCATTCAATATGTTTCACTCATTTCTAAACAGCATACAAAAATGTGTTTTATGCAAACTTTGAACTCTTCCCATGGGCAAACTGTATACATTTTGGAATGAACATAAAGTGGGTCCAATCAAATTATTTTGACCTCTATTACACGTGGTAGCTATGTGTCCCAGCAATTCTGCAACACCCTTTATATGTAACTGATACTCTGCACCGTGTGAAAAATTCCAATTCCAAATTTTCTGAATGGATTTGTTCCTGAGATTTAAAATGTTTATTGGACGAAATAGATGCGGAATTTTCATTCAGCTGTAAAGAGGAAACACTTCCAGCAGTTCCATCTGCTGATGATGTTGAAGCCGTACTCTATCATTATCGTTGATTTGAGCATATGCTCTCCAACAAAAACTACTACCCACACGGAACCCTTATCATAAAGATGAAAAAGTACTACGTGAATAAAAGTGGTGTCTTTCTATCGGCATATGTGGGGCATATATCCCCCTTATCCCCCCGTAGATATGAGCACTGAGCCCAAAAAGAAGTTACGACCAACAACTTCATTTTTCCAATTTGAAACATCTGTTATTTTTAATTTTTGAAATTTGCATGGACTCCTAAGTGTATTTCTGTCTCCGTACGAGCCGCCGAATCAGCGGTACACTTTTGAGGTCGTCGATGAGGTAGACGAAGTCCGCGAGAGCCTGGGCCACCGAACATATATGTTAGTTATGACCGACAACTTCATTTTCCAATTGACAACATCTTTGATTTTTCCATTTTTGAATTTTGCATCGATTTCTAAGTACCTATGTCAAAAATAGAAAAAAATGTTTCGTTTTCAAAAGGTTAACATTATTTAGTAAATTTTCTTCAACTGTTTTAGATAAACCAATAAAAAACATCATTGTCAATTGATATCTTGATTATTTTCAATCTTACAATGTAGTTAATTTTCTTCCAACAAAATTATAAGTGTTTCTAGTGCTCTTAAGAAACTTATCTGCTCTTTTTCCTCGAAAACAAAGTACGTGATAAGAAAGTGATCCAGATATCAAGAAGTTATGTTATCATTTAGCTATTACAATGGAAACAATGTAAAAATCAACAAAATGTAATTTTTTGTGCGAAAAAACAAACCAGAATCTCTATAAAACTCAGGTGAAATGATTACCACAAAAATATAGCTGGCAAGTCGCTGTTGCAGGTACTGAAAACAGGGGATCATTATATTATATCATCTGACATTAAATCGATTGTGAAAAATAAATTTGATTTTTTAGATAAAAATTTGGTGGGCTCATCAGTTTTCTCGCGAAAAAATCTCGAAAACGATTCGTCAAAAACATATTGAATTCTTGTAATTGAAAAGAGGGCTAGTCGGTTCATCGTTCACAGGATGTTCCTGAATTCGAGTGACGAAATCAAGGAAAATTTCCATTCATGAAAGTGCATGAAGTTTTATGGAAAATATAATAGGTAGGTAGGTATATATATTATTGATATTTTTCTATCTTACAAAATGTAGTAACTTTTCTTCCAACGAAATTAAGTTTTTTCTAGTTCTCTTATAAAACGTTTTATCTCATTATTCCCCTTGAAGAAAGTGAGATAGGAAAATAATCGAGATGCTAAAATGTTATATGTGTAAAAAAAGTAACCAAGTTTTCTCCAATGAAAAAGTTATGTTTTTTTTTTCGAAATTCCAAAAAAAGGGGCCTGTGGGGCTCATCACAAAAAAAAACGCTGTTGCAGGCACCTACTAAAAATCAGAGGCGTCCGTTGTATGGCTACTACAATAACCGCTTCTTCTTCCAATAATTGTTTTTAATTAATTAAAAAAAACAGTTTCAAACTTGACACTTTGATTTTCGTTATATTCATCAAAGAAGTGGTTAACAAATCGCGACCTCTTTCACAGACATCCTGTATAATTATTGCCTTAAAAAATAATATTCTTGGCGAAAAAACTTAGTGTCAATCTTTTGATAGCATTATAATTTACTTACCTGTGTTCTGCAAAAACTAGCAAGGCATTGAATGTTGAAGCAATGTCATACATGAACCCTGTGTTTTGGGCAAATTGGTTGATATCACCTTCATTTCCAGTGTAGAAAAATATCGGACCTCTTTGCACATGATAAGTGTCATTGATAAGGTACCTCAGTTTAAAAGTCGCATTGGACCTGAAGCTAAAAAATCACACAAATATAGTGCTGGTAATTTGATTCCCTGACCCCACTAGAGGGTTTAACTATAAAAAAAAACTGTTTCTGCAATTTGTACTCCCTGTGGCTTCTTCGCAAGTTTCATTGATTTTACTTACTTGAAATGATCCAAGGGGACATCAATGTATTTGGTACTGTACAGATATTCGAATTCTTCCGCAAAAATTACGGTAGAAAAGCAAATCAAGATAACTGGCAGTCTCATCATCGTAATTACCTACTGAATAGACTCCAATTCAGCTTTCTAGTTATATCAATAATAAATTTGACCTGGCAATTCAAATTGACCCCAGCTATTATCTGTTTTATCGAATATTGCTTTGTTTAGTGGACAATAATACAATAGGGGCAATATGATAAGATACTGTTTTCATATTATTATTTACCAAGTTGAAATGGGAAGTATTTGATAATATATGAAAAATCGAGTTAATATAGGTAGACCTACTTTCAATTCATTGCCATTGATCTACCAGGCCAATAAATTAATTATGATGGGGTGAATGAACATCCTGTATTATATTTTATCGATATAATATCTACTAGGCATTAGAATAGACAACCATCAATACATGTTCTCGTTGTAGAATGCTACTGGATGATGGAAACTATAGAGGTAAATAGGCTTGGATGGAAACTTCCAGAAACCCAATTCCTTGACAAAATCGATCATAGATGGAGCAAGTCTTCGTTTAAAGCACTTTTTAAATAGGCTGATAAACGTCTCTCGCCAGTCATTTAAGTAGTAGCATGTTGCGAGTTAATATAGAGCTACCTACCTACTTTTAATTCATTGCCATTGATCTACCAGGCCAATAAATTAATATATGATGGGGTGAATGAACATCCTGTATTATATTTTATCGATATAATATCTACTAGGCATTAGAATAGACAACTATCAATAGCATGTTCTTGTTGTAGAATGCTACTGGATGATGGAAACAAAATGGAAACTATATAGGTAAATAGCCTTGGATGGAAACTTCCAGAAACCCAATTCCTTGACAAAATCGATCATAGATGGAGCAAGTCTTCGTTTAAAGCACTTTTTAAATAGGCTGATAAACGTCTCTCGCCAGTCATTTAAGTAGTAGCATGCTGTCCTTCTTTCAACCGAACTTGTCCTGGATGATCCTTTTTCTGAAAAGTATATATTTCGAGCAATTACTTGTGAAAAAATGGAAAAAAAATTGACACCTTGTAGAGACTTGAACGAGAGCCACCGCCGTGATAGACACACAGACCACTGAGCTACAGGGCTCATCAAAAGTTGTAACAAAGGTGGATATATGTATTTTCATCATGGTTGTAACTATGAAGAAAGAAGAAATATCATGTGTTTGCTTGTTTATTCACAATGTAGGCATCTTAATTCACAAGAAGCAGCATGTTACTAATTGAATTACTTGCGAGAGACATTTATAGAGGCTGACATATTTCTCAATTGACTAAAAAAAATGAATAAAACATGTGGAACAGTAGAGATCGATCTATCGATTTTTTTCATTTTTTCATGACAAATTGCATGTCTCAATAAATTCTGAAGGGACAATGAAACTAAATCAGTTCAACAAAAATATATTTATTTTCAACAGCTTGAATAAATAAATTATAAATAAGTAGAACTACATAATTTTACAGGACTCATCCAGATATTTCTCTTGAAAATAGTTTTGAAAAAAATCCAAATAAACCTGAAAATAAATTAATTGAGGATATCTAGAATGTAGTATTTGTAATTTCAACTTTCTGAAATTGGGAAGCCTGGTAAATGTTAGTGATGGGATTGATAAAAAAATATTTAATTCAGCCCATCACTTGTAAAGGTATCACATAAACAGATGATAAATATTGCCAAATCACTAAATAACAAGAATACTTACAAAACATACTAGATAGATCATGGAAGGTGAATATAAATTATACATTTCAAAATGAATATAAAATAGATGACATGACATCCTTCATAATCTCATAGGCAATGAAATGGCAACTTCAACATCCCTCTTATCACATTTTGGAAAAAAAATACCTACTCAAAAGTTATGATTTTTTTACCTTCCTCTGAATTTCCCTCTAGAGACAAAAACCTTGTGCCATAGATGTACATGTCAAGAATTTGTAAAGTACACTGAGCTACAAATCTAACAAAAGGTCTGACATCTCCCATGTTGGCAGTCTTCAATGAATCATAATATGTCTCCCTTAAAAACAAAGAATATAAACAAAACTGCTCTTCAGTTGCCTAGTTAATGTTTACCTCTGTTCTTTAAGTACCATAACAGGAGGATAACCAGCTTTCAGAAGAATCATATTCATGATCAATCTGCTTGTGCGTCCATTTCCATCAACAAATGGGTGGATATCCACTAGTTTGTAATGAGCCAGTGCAGCATAACGCACAGGATGCATATTTTGAGCTTCTTCAGAATTCAACCATTCTACATAGTTTTCCATAAGATCAGGGATGTCTTCATAAGGAGGAGGTATATGACTTCCAACAAATACCTATACAATCAAAGTGAATAATTGACAAATCTCATTTCTGGAAATGAGTAACACACCTTTTCATCTCTAAAAACTCCTGATGCCATAGGATCTACATGACCCATAACCCTCCTGTGTATTCCCAATATTTCTTTGATGCCTATATAATCTGCCCTCACTAAAAGTTTGATATATTGCATAGCCTTTTCTATCCCCAAAACTTCATTGTGTTCCACCAGGCTCTTTCCACTGACTACTTGTCCTGTTTGTAAAAGGTATCTCAGTTGCTCTACTGTCATTGTATTGCCCTCTATACCCACCTAAATATAAAATAATTATTCCAATACTTGAGAGATGAGCTTAGTAAATTAGTGTTATTAGTACTTACAGTGTGATAAATATGTAAATAATATGCCTGTTTCTTGACAGTTTCAAATCCACCTAATTTCACTCTATTCTTGAGAAAATCATTTCTCTTGTCTATATCTTTGAAAAGCTTATAATCTAAACCTTCAACTACTGGAGCTGTGCGTTTACGGTTTGTGAGGGCAGCTTCATGGTTAGGAGAGTGAGTCAGGGCCTGAAAAGAGTATTGTCATTCTCACTTGATACATTTATCAAATATTAACAGACCTTGAAATAAAGCTCATCAGCAGTTAAAACATCCTGGTGTTGCTGTTCTAGAAATTCCCCATATCTGTTCAATACATCAGCATTCTCAGGAGCTATAGCTGCAGCATGTTCAAACAATTTCAAAGCCTTGAGGCTTTTTCCTGATAACTTGAATGCAATAGCAGCCTGAAGTGTATTGTAGACTTCTGAATCTGTTCCTGTAGCCTTGTCATTTTTCAGAATATATCCTATAGTGTCTTTCTGCTGTGGTCGAGATTCTAATACAGAATTCAAATCATTCAACACAATATCTGAATCATGATCGTCTATCTGCTGCAGGGGGTAGTTCAGGTTGTTTTCAAATTTGTTCTCTTTTGATGGTATCAAGTCATCAAATACAGGTACATCATACTTCAAAGAAGGTCTCTTGTATAGCTTATTGATGAAGTAATAGTGTTGAAATAAAGCTAGCAGAACGCATATCACAGATAAAAGGATCGATATCACTATAAGTAGAATATTCATCTCATTTGTACAACATTAAAGTGGCCGTTTTATCCTCTATACATTTATCATAAATCTTAACCTTATATACATTCATGTTATGAACTGTTATTTTTAATATTTTTCACACGTATACGATACGAATATCAAAAATATCGAAATATCACGATTCGAGTAATTCGACTACACACGAAATACGAAATCGTTTTATTTTTTATTTGTTATAGTTGGTAAATGTGGTGTAAAAGTGGCTAAGTGGCCACTGACGGATGACAAACGCCCACAGACATGATATGGGGAAGTTCCACTGGGTAAACTGTCTGAATGTCTGTGTATTTTTATCCTTACTTGCATATGTGTGTTAAACAAAGATAACTATACTATTCAATCAATCAGTGCATAAAAACTCCACAAGTTTCTTCTAATTTCTAATACAAAATGAAATATGCTGATGCTGATAGAAATATTTGATTGTTGGGATATTAATATTAAATATTGATGATACAAAAAAATAGATTGATGATAATGGGTGTGCAAGTGAACATTCCTAATAATAATTGATAATTTTTAACGAACCACTGTTGTGAAAACTTTCTCTGGATTGAAATGATTTGATAATGATTCCTGATGAATTAATCGGAATAACTACCTATAAACCAACAAAATTGGTTGTGCAAGGTGCATTCAAAAGAACGCATCAATTTTGTTTGTTATTTGTCCTAAGGGAAAAGATCGATACTCTTGCTAAACAAGATTACCAATTGCATTTTATGTACCCACAATATTTATTGGGGATAAAATGATATGGAATCATTGTACATATCTACTATTTAAAAATGTTAACGCGTTCATTGAACCCCAGTGGTGCCATTGGTGCCAAATTAAAAAAATATATATTCAATTCAATGTTTCGAACAAAAGACCTTGGCCCAATATCCGAAAAGTAAAATCTAATGTCATTTCGTAGCCAGATGCAAGAACAAAGTGCAATTGTTGCATTGCATGGGTTGCATAGTGAAATAAATTGGAATAGGAAATAAACGGAAAGAGGCCTACGTGAGGAAGATATTATTGATAACCTATGGTGGAATAGCATGTGGGATAGCGTGATTATTCTGTAAGGTTGCCATATTCACTTCTGTCCATGTATAGTATTCAATCTATTATGATTGATTTCGAGGAAACCTTTTTTGATCGTTCACATTATGATTTTTCTGACTTACATTAACGAATATGCAGAGGTCTAGAGATTAATGGGAAATATATACGTTTATTTATAGTTTATTTTATACCTTGAAGGTTAAGGAATCTGTATGAGAGTAATTCAGTAAATAGTTGCTGAAATTTGACAACTGGCAACACCGTCCTGGCGGAAGGCGATTATTTCTGTGCGTTGTCAAAATTGAATTGACGTAGAATGATTTTGGTGTGGTAATGGTGGTACCACTGCAAAGAAAGTTGCGCGCGCAAGGTGTACGCTCAGGCTTAGCGATGGCGTGTTTTGCTGTGTGGGATCTATAAACTCCTGTGAAAAATGTGTGTTTGGGGTGTTATGTAGTAGGTTCTAATAGTTCAAATGGTGGAATTTTCAAGTGATGAGTTTTCATTCAGCTAACGCCAGTTGAATTTGGAATGATGGAATTGAAATTGCATTCCCCCGCTGGGGCTGATCCCGTATTATATACCTGGCCGTTAACCTCTGGTCGAGGAAACGTAAGTTCACACTTTTTTCATCTTTAGTCAAAAGATATATCTTTGGAGACCTATATATCGCAACAAATCGAATTTTTCAACGATAAATCGTGAAGTGTCATTGTTATTCTAAGCTGTTATCATTCTACCAGAGACAGGAAAAGCCAACGGTACTTTAAAACTAGGTACCGACTTCATTTTCGCTCAATAGTGAAAATTCGAAGCAAGCTAGCCGTTAGTTTCTCCTAGAAAATCATTGTGCAGAAATCATATTTGTTTACAATTCTTGTGGTGGGTAAATATTCGAATCAATGATAGATTATTTTGGTTTCTACTTGCCAGAAAAGTTAAAAATACCCACCTTATAATTTCAACGAAAAATGTGATTTCTATAAATAGCACAACCTGGTACCTTATATCCATAGGTGATGATTTTATATTTCCTGCAACAATACCTAGAATATATCAGGAAATATTCATAACCTCTCAGAAACAACAAGTAGGTTAAAGGTGGGTACTTAGGTAAGGAATAAAATATCAATCACACTTCAAGTGCTACCTCACAAATGAGGCATTTTTCTTGAATCAGAATAAAATACACAAAGGATAACAACCTATAAAACAACTTTTAATCATGAATATGTAAACAAATTCACAATACTGAAACTAGGATTCCATAGGTGAATAACTCCATAGAATCCAAGTGTCAAATAGGCTATTTTCATATTATTATGACCTAATGGCAAGAATAGCAGATAAAATGTAGAATCTCTAAAATCTTTTATCCTTCATATTTTTTATTACCTACCTAGTTAGCCAAAAGCTTGATTTAGTTTGAAGGAGGATAGGTATGTATATATAATGCATTACTGTTTCAGTAGGTACTGAAATAATTAGTACCTATGTAGATATTTTATATTTTGTCATCACATAATTTTCTTGTTATCTACAGATTATGGAACTCAATGCTAATGAGAGTAATGAATACACTTTGGCTGTGATTCAAACTTCTAAATGAAATATTCATTTTTATACCTATATAATACTTACCTAGTCTATAGAAGTTCTGTAGTTTCCAAAAAAAAAAAAGAACATGAAAAACAGATATCGATATTTTCAAGATAATAAGTAATCAGACTTTATAAAATGACCTTCATTGCTTTGCCAGGCTGATATAATGTCAACACTATCTATATGTTCAGCAAATAAACAGAGAACTGTTTAGGTGGAAATACACTATTTGGAGTCAAGAACTTCCTATTTTTACTCGTTTGCAAGGTGAATAACTAATTTATTCAGGTAGGTATATTTATTGATTAACAACCTTCCTTCTAAACAGTTGATAATTGACTAGGTACCTATCTAAACTGTTCCCTTCTTGATACTTGAAGTATTTCAGTATTTCATCAAATTAAGTTAGGTATGAGGTTAGGTACTTTGTTCATTGTAAGTATTGGTACACTGTAGACTTCTGCAAAAAAGGCATTTGCAATACTCATGACAAAAAGTGAAAAAAAGCTCAGGTACTTTTATAAACACTCAATACTAACATGTGTCGATAATTGGTATAATAGGCCAGTGAGAATTGTGAATTCTACCAAAACATCCGCCAAAACTGTCATATCCATCACCATCGAGATTTTCAAATTATCATTTCAATTATTGTATGAGGACGCAAATTCATGTGTTGAAACTGGTGGGATCTAATTTTAGACCAACAATATTTATTTCAGACTTACAATTTTTCGCCCCTAATGAATCAGTTATTTTCTGAGGAATTTGTTACTTCTCACGCAAAGATTTTCTATATTTGAAACCAACCGAAATAGAACTGCATAATATATTTCTCAGAATTAATTTCGGTAGGTTGGATTAGATCGAAAATACCTTGTAGTTATTTTAAATCTTTGTCCGCTTATTTGTCTAGCCACATAGACTTGCTTGATATTTTGGACCATTTTGAAATTTCCTCTGATTTCCAAAATATGTGAAGGTTTTTAAAAATGCTGGCTATTTGTATGGGTCTTACGTAAGTATTTTCTTTTCTGTCGTTTGTTGAACATGACCCTGTAGAATATTATGAAGGTAGGTGCATATCTTGACAGACAAGGTACCTAGCAGGTGTCCAGCTGATGCTTGTGGAGGCACGCGCCATGTTAATTTCAGTTTTTATAAGATGTGTCAACCCAATGCGGGTTTGTTTCTATACAGATACAGATGGTTGGTGCTTGCAGCTCCTGTTCTTGTACAGATGGTTACAGCAGTTGTTTGAACATTTTTATTCGATTTACTAAAAAACGACCATTCCTTTTTCTCTTGTTTCATTATATCTCCAATACTGTATGTAGGTTAATCGAGCAGGTGGAATATTCCTGTTTCTTAATTTTTGTTATTTTCTCCTCGTCTCTTGAAATAAAATGACTGAGTTTGTTTTTTTTTCTCCTTTTGAAAAATACTGGACCACTTTGAGAATGGATGGTTTCCATGACTTGAAATGAGTATTATTATTATTTCAATACACCTGTAGGGATGACAAATCAGGTGATTTGCCCCAAGATGTCACTGCTCTTAACATTTCACTATTAGGAACCCAAGATGATAATTATACCGATAGTATGTGACACCTTGTTTTGAAAAATGTTTGAAGAAGAAAATGATTTATTTACCTTGGTCTATTGAAAAAATAGAATATTCCACTTATCTTCGGACTTCGGGATCGAATCTGTTCCTGTTTTCAACATAGAGAAGGATATTAACTCTTGAGCTGGATCTATTCCTGTTTTATTTTGACATTTCTCAGTGACAAAAGTTGTCCACAAACAGATGGTATGCTGTATAACCAGCGTGAAAGCAGCCACGTCTTCCAGCCACAACTCCGCTGAAATTTTACGGCGCGCTACAAAACACCAACGGTAGTCAAATATTAAAAACGTGGCTGGCCATCCACAAAATATCTAAAGCCGTTCGAATTTACTGGACACAGATTTTTTCTATCACATACAGTGTGTATGAATAAGATTGAATAAAAACACACAATATTTTGCTTGGCATGAATTTTCTCATATTATTCCACCTCTCAGACTTACGAAAAAAACGATAAATTCCAAACTTCGAAAAATCATGACTCTCTTAAGGGAAGATATATCATTGATTTTCGTTCGAGAATATACAGTGTGTATGATGGTAAATGAGATTTATATCATGCAATATTCAGCCGGACAACATTTTTCCCGAAATCGACTACTCAAACTCGCAAAGAAATCGATAAATCTGAAATTTTGAAAAATCATAGCTCTCTTAATAGATGATATATCATTGATTTTTCTTAAAGAACATACAGTGTGTATGATGATGAATAAGATCTATATCATGCAATATTTTGCCGGCCAAGATTTTTCCTGAAATCGACTACTCAAACTCGCGAAGAAATCGATGAATCTGAAACTTTGAAAAATCATAGCTCTCTTAATAGACGATATATCATTGATTTTTCTTCGAGGATATACAGTGTGTATGATGGTGAATGAGATCTATATCATGCAATATTTTGCCGGGCAAGATTTTTCCCAAAATCGACTACTCAAACTCGCGATGAAATCGATAAATCTGAAACTTTGAAAAATCATAGCTCTCTTAATAGACGATATATCATTGATTTTTCTTCTTGGATATACAGTGTGTATGATGGTGAATGAGATCTATATCATGCAATATTTTGCCGGCCAAGATTTTTCCCGAAATCGACTACTCAAACTCGCGAAGAAATTGATAAATCTGAAACTTTGAAAAATCATAGCTCTCTTAATAGACGATATATCATTGATTTTTCTTCGAGTATATACAGTGTGTATGATGGTGAATAAGATCTATATCATGCAATATTTTGCCGGCCAAGATTTTTCCTGAAATCGACTACTCAAACTCGCGAAGAAATCAATGAATCTGAAACTTTGAAAAATCATAGCTCTCTTAATAGACGATATATCATTGATTTTTCTTCGAGTATATACAGGGTGTATGATGGTGAATAAGATCTATATCATGTAATATTTTGCCGGCCAAGATTTTTCCCGAAATCGACTACTCAAATTCGCGAAGAAACCGATAAATCTGAAACTTTGAAAAATCATAGCTCTCTTGATAGATGATATATCATTGATTTTTCTTAGAGAATATACAGTGTGTATGATGATGAATAAGATCTATATCATGCAATATTTTGCCGGCCAAGATTTTTCCTGAAATCGACTACTCAAACTCGCGAAGAAATCAATGAATCTGAAACTTTGAAAAATCATAGCTCTCTTAATAGACGATATATCATTGATTTTTCTTCGAGTATATACAGGGTGTATGATGGTGAATAAGATCTATATCATGTAATATTTTGCCGGCCAAGATTTTTCCCGAAAACGACTACTCAAATTCGCGAAGAAACCGATAAATCTGAAACTTTGAAAAATCATAGCTCTCTTAATAGACGATATATCATTGATTTTTCTTCGAGGATATACAGTGTGTATGATGGTGAATGAGATCTATATCATGCAATATTTTGCCGGGCAAGATTTTTCCCAAAATCGACTACTCAAACTCGCGATGAAATCGATAAATCTGAAACTTTGAAAAATCATAGCTCTCTTAATAGACCATATATCATTGATTTTTCTTCGAGAATATACAGTGTGTATGATGATGAATGAGATCTATATCATGCAATATTTTGCCGGACCAGATTTTTCCCGAAATCGACTACTCAAACTCGCGAAAAAATTGATAAATCTGAAACTTTGAAAAATCATAGCTCTCTTAATAGACGATATATCATTGATTTTTCTTCTTGGATATACAGTGTGTATGATGGTGAATGAGATCTATATCATGCAATATTTTGCCGGCCAAGATTTTTCCCGAAATCGACTACTCAAACTCGCGAAGAAATTGATAAATCTGAAACTTTGAAAAATCATAGCTCTCGTAATACACCATGTATCATTGATTTTTCTTCGAGGATATACAGT